GGTTCTGTGATGGCTGTACAACAATGTGAATGTACTTAATGTCACTGATCTGTACACTTAAAAATAGCTAAGATGGTAAATTTTATGTTATGTGTATTTCACCATAATTAAAAATAATATAAAAGAAAAAATCATTAGTATATGTATGTATGCATAGCAAGTCTGAAAAGGGGGTGATAATTATCTATAGGTAGTAAGATTATATATGATTTTCTTGTTGCAAGAAAAATATTTTTAATTTACATATAATTTATGTGTAATTTTTCTATATTACATATAGTAAAAATACATAAAGAGCTATGTATTTAACTTATTCCTAGTATGGTGATGGTATTTAACTACGTACAAACTCTGGAAATAAATGTGTCCTTAGCTATGGGCCCCAAACCTCCCATTGAGTGTCATCAATTTCAATGGACTCATCTCCACAGGAACCAGACAAGAGGTCCTTAATCTAAATACAGGAGCACTTAGGTTTTCAAATACAGGCTCAGGTGAAAATGTGGATGCTACCTGCCTGACACAGGCCAATCATGCTACACATGCATAAGCTGCTGCAAAAACTCTGAATATCTCTGCAACATGTCCTTTGATAGTGTGGCATCTTTTGACACAGACCAAGCTACAGAGCTGCCTATAGTGTATAATTAAGGGTTTCAGATGTACTAAGGTTTTCCTCCTGCCAAATGCCATTCATCTATGCTTGACTCTTCCAACAAATAGAACCGAAGTACAACTTGTAAAGCAAGCTCACTGTGTGAATTATTTTGTCCTGCTGTTTTAAGTCACTGCACGGTTCAGAGGAAGAGAGACATTATTCTGGGACACATAAACCACAAAGCACAATCCCATCACTTGAAGGGAGGATGCCAAGACCCAGAAGAGTGAAGTGACTTGTCCAGAGCTACCCTCCCAGTGCGTGGAATAGCTGTGGCTGGACTCCAGAAATCCTAATGCCTCAGTCCGATGCTTCTTTGCAAAAGTTGGAATGTTATCTTTGGAAAAGGAGAGTCACGGTCTGAATGCGGTTACACTAGAAATCGCTTTATTTCTTCCCAACCTTTGTCTTCAACTGACTCCCTAGCTTTGTGGTTACTCACACTTTCGAAAACCACCGCATTTCAGCAATTAAGGCTAATTTTCAGCTGTTTAAAAAACTCATCTGGTTCAAATTAAGTCTTCGATCTCACATCCAGCTCAAAGCTCCTCCCCTCCTCCTGGTTCAGAAAGACCCACAGCTCCAGGGCTCGCAGTGGGGAAGGGGGAGGAATCTGCTTTCCCTCCTCCTCCCCTTCGTCCTGCTCTGACTTCACAGAATTAGCCGTGTGCAGGGGGTGGGCAAGTCGGCAAGGACTGAAGTAAAGGGGCTGAAGTCTTTGCACCTGCTTGTTTGTAGCTCTCCCTTGGCTGACAGCATTCTCTAGGTTGGTGTCCCAATGCTGAGCATTTCGTGGGGTGCAGCTCAGACTCTGGAAGGGGCCTCATGGGAATCTCCACAGGATCAGAGTCAGGGGCACCAATCAGAGGGTGTTTTGCGAGCCTCTCCCTGCCAGCGGCCGCGGGAGAAGTGGGGACAGACCACTGCACTCTCCCTCACACTCCACCCAGTCAATCAACTCCCCTAGAATGTCGAGTCTGCTCCTCACACAGGTGACAGATGGGTGATGGTGGCCTGACAAGTTCTACCAGCTTTGTGTAAATCTTGACAGGCTGTGCCTAGCTGGTCCTCTTTAGAAGGTGGGGACATTCACCACCTCGTATCTTCATCAAAAATCCCATTCAACATTCTCTTATAGGAGCCCCCAGTGTTGTTTACAAGGATGGTGGAGAGGGGTAGTTTTTACTTTTGGAAATGAAGACACTATACAAAGAGGAAGCAGCTGCTGGGAAGATCCTGGGATAGAAAGGCAATGAGCCATGGACTACTGGGAAAAGGATGGGGTGCCTCCAAAGACAAATCCCCTAACCCTATGGGATATCAAGGATTTTGAGAAGACCCTGAGGGGAGCTGCTTCCCTGGGACCAACCAGATTGGGTGCATCAGGATAAGACAAAATCCTGCCTCTGCCCTTCACCCACTCAGTGGCACGGGCTGAGCCCTTTCCTCCTTCTGGGCCCCAGGTTCCCCACCTATAAAGAGGGAGATGGCGAATATCTGTCCTTCCTGGCTGCACAGCATTGACGTACCCTCTCTAGTTGGAGGAATTCCAAGATGGGTGGTGGGTACTCCCCCTTTCCCCATCATGGAAGCCCCAAAGGCCATATAGCCTCACTCCCTACCCCTCCCATACAGCTAGCTACAACTTAGAAACGTGACCCAGGCTCAGTCAAGGGCTTTGAGACATTATTAAGAATGGAAAAGTCTAGCTGTGGTGGGAGGAGCGTCCAGGAGTACGGTAGTGGATGCTGACTGGCAGTGACGAGCCCGGAACAGTACAGGAGTGCCCAGTGCCCAGGGTTCTCTAGCTGTGCCCGGCCACCTTGCTTATTTTTCTGAGCCTTGGTCTCTGGCCACCTATGATTCTGCAGAAATGCCACATTCTGTCACAGTGACTTTAACTTGGCTCACCAGCCCTGTTCAATCATTTTCTCCCTTGTCTGCCTCTACACTGGAGGCTAGAAAGCAAAATACTTGAATTCCCAGATGCCTCTGCATTAAGAAGTGGTCACGTGATACAGTCCTGATGAATAAACTAAAGGAATAAGCCCTTCCCCAATTTGAAGGCAAAACCTGGAAAGGAAAAGGCTTTCACACTTCACCTTTGTGCTTCTTCTTCCTGCCTGGAACACAGATGAAATGCCTGGAGGTGAGGCAACTGCTCATGATCATGAGGAACAAAATGGTAAATAGAACCTTAGCCTCTGACGCCATCTCTGAGCAGCAAGACAGGCCTGCCCGGACTACCACCTTTAGACTCATTACCCAATAAAAATAAGTTATTTACCTATTTGAGCCACTGTTTTTCAGACTTTGTTACTTTTAGATAAGTATATTCCTTCATGATGTATTTTCAATTAACACAATAAAAGTTGAGAATGGCATTTACATTTGTAAAATATTTTGTAGTTTATAAACTGTTCTGTAGTTTACCACCAGGAGCTATGACTAGTACCACGAGCTCTCCTCCCGCTGATATTCTGTCCTTGGAAGAGGGACAGTCCTCTTACTGGGCAAACTTCCATCACCCACAGCTTTTACAGCTCAGCACAAGAGCAGGCATCTTGCTCTCAGCTGCACTTTGTAAGGGCGCGCCACTGGACCAGGTGCCCCGCCTCCTCCGGCCTTCTCATCCTCTGATTCGTTCCCTAAAGCCAAGGGCGAACCCTCCTACCTGAGACCTCCCAGCCTGATCCTACTTCACTGGGGTACCTACTTGACTAGATGGTCATTACAACTTTCAGAGTCAGACAGATTGCTGCTACCCGGGCGAAATCTGAGTTGGGTATGATATTTGCATTTATCAAATATTTTGTAGTTTAGAAACTTACACTGTCTTTTTTGGCAGCCTCTCACTGACCCTCACAACAATGCTGAGGTAAACAGGGCAAGTATAAGGGCTGTGATAAGCCACAGGGTTTGGAGATAATGAATCAAAGTGCAAAAGCGCAACACGACCCGAGGCGGAGGAGGGGGGGCAGGGGGGAGAGTGGACATTGGACTAGGAGTCGGGAAACCTAGGTTCTGTGTTCCAGTTCTAACACTAACCAGTAGCGTGACCTTGGGGAAGTCATTTACCTCTCTGGGTCCAGTTTCCTCATCTGCACAACAAGGATGCTGGACTTACTGGTCAGCTTAAGCTGCCACAACAAAATACCATAGCCTGCAAGGCTTAAACAACAAACTTATTTTCTCAGAGGAAGGGGCAGGGGAAGGAGGGAGGGAGAGAAAGCTCTCTTCCTTTTCTTTTAAGGACACAGGGGTATCGGATTATGGCCCCATCCTTATGACCTCACTTAATCTTAATTACCTCCTTGAAGACCCCATCTCCAGATGCAGTCACACTGGGGGTTAGGGCTTCAACATGTGTACTTTAGGGGGACACAATTCAGTCTATAGCACTGGATGTGACATTTGAGTTCCTTCCACCTGTTAGCACGAGTCTGGAGCATTAAAGATGCTCACAACTATCTGTGGAACGAGTATTTCTACCTGCCTCCATGATTCAAGAAACTGCGCAAGGTTTATTTCTTGACTAGGGTGGTGAGCATCCTTGGGGGTCTTCTGAGTATGCTTTCCCTTTGCAAAGTCAATTAACACACCAAAGGGAATTAACACTGGCCACAAAGCAAGTTTCTCCTAAGGTTGGACCCTCAATGCTTTTCAGAAAGCAGTGTATTTAACCATTACTTTCAATCCTTGGGTGTGGCATGCAAAGCATGCTACTGCATTTAGAAAAAACACAATGGTGACTGTCAATTGGAGGTGGGATTTAAATCATGAGTACACAGTTAAATTTTCTAACAGCCAGGAAGATTACTGATCAATTGTGACACGCCCTCCCCCCTTCCCCAGAAGCACCTGAAATTGCTGTTTTCCAGGGGCTCTGTGGTCAGAAGCAGCCTCTGGTGGGGAGAGCCAGCCTGCCCTAGGTCAAGTATAATTCCTTCCAATGGTAATCAGCTAAGATTTCTTCAGGAAGTATTAATGATTTTTAGTTTAATATACTTATTGCCAAAGGCCTAAAAGTATTTTGAGCATTTAAATACAATTCCAACAGAAATATTCCAAGGATGACTAAAACAACCCTAGAATGTGTTGTTGCAACCAGACCTGAGACCTTTAGGACTAAGATGGTATCAATTTCTGTAACTCCTTTGTTTTATTCTTATTTATGATACAATCTATACCTGCTTATAGACACTAGATTTTCTCTCTCTCTGTTAGTTTCAAACCTAAATTTACCTTTCATGGCTATTAAAATCCTCATCTTCACTTGACACCAACTGTCCAAATTCTGGTATTCTACAAAAGATACTGAGTTTTGTTTTGTTTCCCTTAAAGGGGGCACCAGGAATTGAACCGGGAACATTGTGCACACCAAGCATGCGCTCTACCACTGAGCTATGCCCCCCACCCTGATGCTGAGTTTTCTTGTTTGATCTTATAGAGCAGAGGTGCTCAGCTGGGGCTGCTTTTATACCCTGGGGGGCATTTGGCAATGTGTGGAGTTATTTGTGGTTATCACAACTGGGGGAGTGTGGTGTTGCAACTGGCATCCAGTGGGTAGAGGCCAGGGGTGCGGCTGAACACCCTACAGTGCACAGCACAGCCCTCACAACAAGGAACTATCTGGCCCCAAACATCAGTAGTGCTGAGGTTGAAAACCCTGCTATACAATCTCAAGATGCACAGAACACGGTCCTTAAGGCCTCCCGGGTTAGCGAGGGGAGGTTGTTCTACTGGGAGCACAACTCTGTGACTCTGCAGGACCTCAGACACAGAGCAGAAACTGACGGAATATTTGTCCTACCAACACAGAATGTCCGTCATGGGATTAATTTTTTTTTTAAAGTGGGCAGCCCCTCCTGTGATCTTCATTCAACCTCAGTGTCCTCTTCACCCAGGTAGTAAGGGGAAAGAAAGCAGGACCCCTGGTCACAGGAGCAGGACTGCGACAAGGTCTGAAGATTTGCCACTTACAGCCTCAGAGCTCATTTTACTTGGGAGGGGTGGCATGAGGACCGAAAAAAAGCTCCAAACTCTTCATAAAATCCTAACAGCTTCATGGGTTGGTAGGATTTCACACTCCCTTTAAAAAGCATTAAATTACTCCCTGTGCGCCCATTATTTTAATGATTTCTATATATCCCTCCTCATTCCAAAAAGGTTGAGGTGGTTACCTCGCTGAGTGGTGCTGACTCAATTTTCTGGTGTAAGGCTTACCTGGGCTTTAGGACCGATCAATAGGAGCTTCAGTTTAGGAGGGAAAAGGATTTGGCAGGACCAAGAAAAACTAGAATGTTTTGGCAGTTCAACGATATGAGTTAAATTCCTACTGTGTGTAAGGCCGAGTGCTAAATGCTGGGGTGTACATTTTTTAAAAGCATAAATCACAGCTGGTGTCCTTAAGTAATTTATAACCTGCCTGAGAGAGATAGGCTTGGTGCCCAAGGGAGGATGTCTTTCATTACAAGACGGTCTGCGCTCAGAGCCTCCAGGCAGGCACGGCCCTCTGCACTCTGCCCCTCCTCTGCCCGGGGAAGGAGGCGCAGAGCACAGGCTCGGAGGTGGGCACACATTGGAAAGGGGCAGGGGCAGCAAGCAAACCAGCCAGGCACTCAAGTGACGGCTTTATCCCGCAGCTACAAGAGAGTCCCCGAAGGCATCCAAACAGGAAGCTATAGTGATAAAAGGGGACACTTCCTGCACGTCTACTGTTTGCTAGGCACACGCATTTCACCCTCTTCCCGACAGCCCTATGACATGGCTGCCTTTCTTCTTCCCATTTTACTGATGAGGAAACAGAGGCACCGGGTTGTTAAATAATTCATGCAAGTCACGCAGTTAGCAAGTGCCAGAGCCAGGAGTCACCCCTGGGCAGAGCCCACAAGCTGAACCACTTCTCCAGACTGCTTCTTGACAGAACAGGGAGGAGGAGGGCCGAGGAAAGAACAGACACCTTGGGAAGATGCTGCCAGCAGAGAGCACTTCAAGGCGTAGAAGTCAAGAGGGTCAGATGCTGCTGAGCCATCAGGAACGAAATCTGAGAAACGGCCATTGGACTTGTGTTAGGCAATCACGGGTGACCTTTAAGAGCTCTGTCTCAGTAGAAGGGTGGGGACAGGGGTTCCGGGTAGGACAAGAAGTGGGGAGTGATAGCAGATAGCGTCCCAGGTAGAAACTGACAACGAAAGGACCGGGGGAGACAGGAGAGAATTTTCCAGGCTTTTCTTTTGAGACTGTGCCCCAAACAATGGAACATTCTCTTTATTTGAGGGATTACAGTATGCATCAGCCTGTTCTTTTGTTTCGAAGGGCAGAACCAAAACATTTTAGTAGTTATGACGAAAGTATTAGCAAGTATCCTAGAAATTTTTTAAAAAAACACTGCATCAAATTCAGGTAAAATGCAAAGATTAACTATTTGAAGGGAAACTGTTATGGGAGAAAGGTTACTTGACCTTACACATGACTGGACATGACAGCCAGCCTGTAACTGGGGTGGGAGGCTGTGAGGGAATCATGGATGAAATAACAAGCTTTGGACTTGTTCCGAGCCGAGAGAGTGGCAGAAAGCACTGCACGTGTTACGCTGTGAGACATTCCAGTGAACGGCTGCCTGATCGCAGCCTGGACTTCCAAAAACCTGGACTGCGAAGGGCAGAAATACTTATTAAAATTCTTTGTTTCGGAGGGGAGGGTGGAGCTCAGTGGTTAGAGTACATGCTTAGCATGCACGAGGTCCTGGGTTCAATCCCCAGTATCGCCATTAAAATAACTAATTAAATAAATGAACCAAATTACACCCCCCTAAAAATTCTTTGTTTTAATGAGCTGTGGGAACTCGAGCTATCAGCCCCTGTCCAAGCTACTGAGTAGTTTCCATTACAAATCAAAAGCAGTTTTAGCAAGGCTGCATTTTTTGGAGGGAAATTCTCTCTTGGCAGATAACTCAGACCGCCTAGGGCAGCAATTAAAGACTAGGAGGAAGAGGGGGAGAGAAGGAGGCTTCCCTGTGGCTGACCAGCCCTTTCACTGAGACTTCATCCCATAACCATCACCTCCCTCCAGCGGCCCGGTGTACTCAATTCTAAAGTGTTCTGAGGTTGTATTAGTGCCCCAAATACCCATCATTTTGCTGCAGCTCAAGAACTACTGCAAACAATAAATGAATGAAAGGTAACCTGGAGTCTGGGACTGCTTAGGTCAAAAGAATCTCAGGCTCTGATGCTGCTTGTGCATGCTTACTGCAAACACGCAGACACACGGGGTAAGTGCTTTGGCAATCAGCGTTCACACCCTGGCTTAAACAGGGAAGACACCAACAGGTATTTAATCTTTTTTTTTTTAATGCAACATTGTGATGCTGGCAGTGCAGTGATTAACCTGCCTGTGTGAGGATCCACAGATTCCTTTTCCTTTCGAGTGACTCAGGCCACAGGAAAGTTAGTAGAATCTGGAGCATCCTTCTTTAGAAGTCTTCAAAAACATTATGCACTCCACACACAGGGGAAGCCACACAGGTCTCCTCTCCATTCCAGGCCACCTCCCCAGGTACCTTTGGCTGCTCTGTCATACACCCCAGCCCTCAGGAGACCTTTTCATCTTTTACAAGGGCTGACTCTGCCTGGGAGGTTCCTCTCTCACCAACACCGACTTAAGGGTAAGACAAGATCTCTCCCAATTCTTCTCCACTCTCCTTGCTGTTCCCCCCACAACACACATAGAGCCTTTGCACTCGAAAGGCTTCACCACATTTGAGAGAGTTCACTATGGGGAACTGCAAGGGCTACAAAAAAACAAGAAACGTGGGAGGCTGGAAAGATTCAAGGATGCCACGGTGACTTGTCAGTTCTTTTCCACAGCACCAGGGTTAGGGGAGTGAACAAAACAGACAAAATCCCTGTGCTCTGGAGCATTTATTCCCTTGAGCAGATTTACATAGTATGTTAGGAGGGTCTATGAATAAAAGCAAAGCCAAGAGGAGAGATAGGAACATCTGTGGGAGGGTGTGGAGTTTTAAAGGAGTGGTCAGATTTTGAGCAAAGCCGAAAGGAGGTGAAGGAGCAAACCACACAGGAATCTACGGGAAGGCTGGTCCAGGAGAGGGAACCACTAGCACTAAGGCCCTGAGGCAGGGGAACAGCAAGAAGGCCTGTGTGGATGGGCAGAGGCAGAGTAGGATGGGAGGACAGTTGTCCATATGGCTGGAGAATGATGGGGCAGAGCACTCTCCTGTATCTGCAATCTGCAATCAGAGCGGAAAAAAGGGAAAAGCTCAGAATTTGAGCCACATTGTCCTGGGCCTGAATCCCCGCTCTGCTCTTTACATCATGTACCTTGGGCACCTTTCTCCTTATTTAGAAACAGATGACCACAAAGGGTCTTTGCAAAGGGTTAAAGGAGGTACAGAATGTGAAATTACCCATCCCAGGACACAGCTCATGCCAGGTTCCTACCCACCACACATTCGTTCCCTTCCTCTACCCATGGTTACATCTCTCATCTAGCTCCACTGTGGCTGAATAAAAGGTGTCTGGAAGTATGCCATTCAAGAGCCTTTGACAGGCCCAAGGTGTATCACCAAGTGCAAGACAAGAAACTGCAAAACAGGATGCATCTATGTATAGTGTTGTTGGCAAACAGTAACATTTTAACATCCACATTCAAAAATCTGGAGGAATCTATACCAAACTATTAACGGTAGTCATCACTAAGGGGTAAGATGACCAAGATTCTAACCATAGACCTTCTACCTTCTATATTTATGTAATGGTCGAACATTTTACAATGAATACAGATCTGCAAGTAGAAATCAGCATATAGACTAGTGCTGGTGCAGAAGGGATTTCCTGGCCCTTTCCTCTAACAGTACTCAGTAGCCTCCAGCCAACTTTGCACCCAAGGCCCGTTGGTGGGATCTCACTTCAGGAACCCTTACATCTTCTCCGTGGGGAAACTGATCGCATGTAGGTCCGAGGGGAGCTCTAAGGTTCTCACAGGAGACCCGGACCACAGGAGAGGGTCCTATGGTGGGTGTGCCTGGCCAGCATTTGTGAACTCTGACTGGTTCAGTTTGCAAAGGGGATGGATTAACTTGTAGGTTGTGAATCACTTTCTAAATAAAATTAAACCCTTGCTATAGCTTCCAACAAGGAGAGAAAAAGAAGACTGGTGAAAATCAAGTATTTCAGAATAAGCTGATTGTGAACTTCCTTGTAATTCAAGATTGTTGACACTGAAAAAAGTCTCATTTTAGGGAATACTAAATTAAGAGATACCATAAGAAAACAAAACATTTCACAACTCAGTAGCCTACAAGGAAAGACAAATATGCCAGTTCCCAGTGTCTTACTCAACGATGTGTTAAAATGTGCATTACAATCGGTCACTGCGATGCATGCTAGTTAC